GTTTTCAAGCATTGCTTGAAGGAAAATTGAGCTCAAATTCATATGTTCTGAAGCATTTACCTTTAACATCCATACGAAATGTATTTAAAAACTGGTATTTCTGTAAAAATGTGCTTTTTGATTGGAAAATGTCAAATTTTGATCAACCTATATGGTACAACAAAAGTATTTCTTATGCCAGAAAACAATTTTTTATAAAGTCTTGGTATGATCATGGTATAAAAGCTGTAAGACATTTAGCAAATGTGGGTAATTTGTTTACTTATAGAGAGTTGACTGAAAAATATGGCATGCAATATAGTGATGAAGAGTATGTGAATTATTATCGCATCACTGGAGTTCTACCCGATTATTGGTTATGCAATATTGGAAACTGTGTTGATTTTAGTGTAATAAGTGACACTGAAGAGAATGTATGTCATTTTATTTCTGAAACATTCGAATCAGGAAAAGTAAATAAAAGCATCTATAAAAAGTTGAACCTTATCAAATTTATATCCCCTGATAAATCAAGAAAAAAATGGACAGATCTTTTGTATTTAGAGAGTGATTTTAATTGGAATAAATTGTATATGGATATCTTTTATTGTACTATTGAAACTAAATTGCAATCTTTTCATGTAAAGCTATTTCATGGTGCCATAGTACTAAACGATAGATTGTATAAATTTAAACTTGTTTCATCAGAGTTATGTGATTTCTGTCATTCGAATGTTGAAACTACTGACCATTTCTTCTATGATTGTATAGTTGTCCAACAGTTTTGGGAATTTCTGAACATGTGGATATATTCAAAAACAGGGATTAATTTTAACTTTTCAAAGAAAGATTGCATGTTGGGATATGTTTGCCAATTCTATAACAAATTGTGTAATTGTATACTTCTTACTGCCCGGTTTTATCTATATCGTTGTAAGATACAGAAAAAGAAACCACTGTTCTATGTATTTACCTCATATCTTCATGAAGTGAGGGAAATTGAGCGGTTCATTGCACATAAAAATGGCAAAATAAAGAAACATTATCAAAAATGGAAAATTTTAGGATATACGCACAATAATTGATTATTTTTATATGATGAATTGTGATTATGTAGTTTCTATGAATATTGATTAATAATGCTGTAGCTATTGTAGATGTATCGATTAACTGTGTTTTATATAATAATAAATATATATAAAAAAAAAAAAAAAAAAAAAAAAAAAAAAAACAATTCAGTAAACGATTACCATCCACGCAAAATTGCACCTGTAACAACAGAATATTTCAGTAACCGTGATACCGAAACTGCCAGTTCGCTGCGCGTTTGTCGGTATCTTTTTTATGAGCGGCTAATAATAAATCATGTTCACCAAAATTCCTAACGCTTCCCCAGTTCATGGATTAATTAACGAGATCAAAAATGGCTTGTTCGAAAGAGTATTTACTTCTGCAGGGGCCAGCAATCTAGGAATATTAATTTTCGGAGTGGATTACGAGATAATGGCGACAAATTGTAAAAAAAAATTTAAAATTTTAAACATTCGGCGCGTTTTGGAAACGAAACACCAATCCAAACTTTCGGTGAAACGCGTATAACTATGGTGGTAGCATAACCCACGTGAGATATTTCAACCAGATCGGCCGATCAGTTTAGACTCTACTGCTAAACAGATACAGAGACAGAATGACTGCGAATAAGGGTTTCCTGGAGCGGATATTCAATAATCATTTATGTGGAGTCGAAGTAGTAGACGTACATAAGGAAGGAAAGCACTGTATCACCGTTGTATAAGGTCATATCTTTACAAGGATATGCAAATGGAAAACGACTGTATTCATCAACAATTATCAAAAGAAGCTGCTTTATACCGCAAACGGGATCCCTGAAATATTATGCTGATTCGTTCCAAAGGACGAGTTTCGCTGATTAGCTCATGCTTGTAATTGCCTTTAAAATATCGCGGCTTTAGCCCCGCACATTGCTGAGAGTTGAGCCAAATACACATCTTCAGCGGGAAAGGGCAAATTATTAGATCTGATGAAATGCGACAATCTTCTAATACCCGGGTGACCAAGCTGTTCCTGAATACTTTTTAGGTCAAAATCAGGATTGCCAAAAGGCAACTTATTCGAGACATTGTATCAGGAGCTACATTATCAATTTCAGCTCAATTAACAACAGTAAAATTATAGCAACTAAGTTCCAATTTCCACAATGATGATTTAGTATTTTTAATCTTGCTTTTATGATTCTTTTGGAAAATGAACGACAGGGCCCGTTAATATGTAATTAAGAGAAACTTTTTTCCATGTAATAAATAACACCATTTTTTTCCACTGGTTCTATAATGGAAGCAGCTTCCTTCTCGATTGAAGGGTACTTTATTTCACTTTCAGATAGTGTGCAAGAAGTAAGAGCTACCGGACGGCCACACTGGTCTAAAAAAGCAGCTATAGCGTCATTAAATGGTAAAAGCCGCATCTTTATAATACATAACCAGACAAATATGTCTTCACAATCTGTGGAATTTGAAGTCTGAAACATATCTTGTGAGTTCATTTATTTTAGCATGTTACAACAAGTTGTATCAAAATATCAATACTTCATGAGCATATTCGATGCTTTACATTTACAATACCACTGCCCTTAGTATATATATATATATAGGATAATTCGATGCTTTACATTTACAATACCACTGCCCTTAGTATATATATATATATAGGATATAAGATTTTGTTAAATCTAGAGGTACATATTGTAAATCTGACAAATTCAGGATAAAATAAATTTAGATTTTGTGGCACACAAATTATGTATGTGATTAGAATTATTAAGGTCAAACCGTAACCAGGAAGAAAGTCGATAACACGCTCAATCATATGGAAACATCGGATCACATTAAACCTATTTCTTTAAATATGTACCATCACGCACTAAAATGAAAATAACTCAATTTCATAAACCTAAATAAAACTATAGAAACCATTGGTCGACTATTGCACGAAAAGTGCTGTAATAAATACCCCAAATTTTGACGCAAATTGTGAAGTTTGGAAACTCATTCAACACATATTTATCTAAATAGACATGCCAATGTTTCCATATGATTGAGTGTGTTATCGCCTTTCCTCCCTGTTACGATTTGACCTTAATAAATCTAATTCAAGACATGATTTGTGTGCCACAAAACCTAAATTCACCTTAGCCTGAATTTGTCGGATTTACAATATTATGTACCTCTAGATTTAGCAAAACTTTATATACCTTCTTGTACTAAAGGCAGTGTTATTGTAAAGCATAGCATATGCTCATGAAATATTGATATTTTGATACAACTTGTTGTAGCATGATGGAATAAATGAATTTATAAGATATGTTCCCAAATTCCACAGATTGTGAAGACACGTTTGCCTATAGTTATGTATTATAAAAAGGGGGTTTCATATGAGGAATATCAATATTTTTGATCCCTCACAATCTAAGAAAGGTTTGTAATAAGGGGGGGGGGGTTATTTCGTTATTGCCCCTTGTTCAATATTGTTCAATTTTTTTTTATACCAAACTTTTCTTAGATTGCGAGGGCTTCACGCGTATCGCCAAGGGAGAATGCCAAATTTGATTGCCATGAGCGTCCTGAACATTCTTTTGGAAATGAAAACGTATTTTTCAAATTCTCTTAGTGGTATTTGTCAAAGTACTCGTATTTTATATTTAATTTATGGTGAAAGAGTTTTATTCTTCATACCTTACTACCTTAAGAACATGTTGATTAAATTAAATTCTTGAAAAATCCGTTTTTTCAATGACACACTCACATATCTCTCAGATATAAAGTTCATTTAATCAGAATGACTCGACGTGACGACTTTATTATGAAACGACATCCAAAACAGTTATTTTATATAGGATTTATTAGATTAAGTCATGATACTGTAGATTACCTGGCGACATAAATTAGAAATACTACCTGTAGTTATAAGGCTTCGAGTTCAGCGTGGTTTTCTGAAATGTTTGAAATTTTGAATTCTAACGCTGGCTATGGCCTACACTTCAGGCCTTAAAACGCTTCCACCAATCAAATTTTCACATGTTGGATGAGCGTCTTATAGACTAACTGATTCTTCAAAAAGCGTAGTATATTGCATATTGCTCGCGCAAAGGTGAGTGAAAATTTTAAAACGTTACATTTATTTAAGAAGACCTAAGAATAATGTGCGGTTGGCGGTTAATAATTGTCAATGGGATCCTCTGACTAAAATAAGAAAATTCGGAATAAAATTATGGCCTCAACCCGGTACATACACTTCAGGTGTACCCATTTATCACTTCATTTTTGCAACTATAATTAATATAAATCTTTACACACAATTGTCGCATCTTCGCAACTGGAAATGGGTATTCTGACGTTCGTTATGAATAGCAGAAGTTTGTCTATAAATTATTTGGGATCAAAATGTTTCTGAATAGTCATATTTTTAATTTTTCCTACTTAATGTAAGTGGGCACACTCGCATTTCGCAGAAAAATACCAGCGGCGAATTGAGCATCATGCCTCCTTTCCATTATAGGTAATTTTTTTATATTGAAATTCGCTTTAAATACAGCACTAAAAACATTCGTATGCGAATAAGAATACCTTTAATGTAACGTAGCTGATGGAGACATTCGTTCAAAAAGAAGAAAACATTTACCGGCATAAAATGTTATTACGCCGTGATACCTTCTACGTATGGCTAATTTGCGTTTTCGTGAAAATGTCTGGTAAAATTTGCAACATACATCTTTAAGCGGGCCAAACTCGTTCACTCGATCAGACATGATAGCACCTAGAACTGATAATGAAAAATGTGTCACTTTTCATAGATCGTGATTGTTTTTTGTCCTAAGCAAATATTTATTCTCTTCGCTCTTTGGATTTCAATTTCACCATAGCTAGATGTCTCGTTGCCTATCCTACAAAACGCCCGAGTTCCATGGTTTGTTGGTTTTGAATTGATAGTAAGTTCACGTGAATTTTAGAAGAATCGATATTTGGAATCTACACGCGCATATCGAACGTATTGATTAGCACCCGACACGCGAATAAATACCGATACCCTTGTAATATAGATATAAGGCAGATAAAGACTTCGACTAGCTTATAGTTGTTACCTTGTTAGTATATCAGAGTTCGTCTATAAACTTTATGATGACGCATAACATTCCTAACTGCCAATGAAGAAACTAAATGCTAGCTGCCTACTTGGCACTCGATGGCAAATCAGCTGTTGTATTCGCGATATCGCTTCAAGTCTAATTTTTCATTCGTAGATTTTTTTATTCACAGAGTAAATGAAGAATTTGTTTGGGAAGTTTATTTCAAACCTGGATTTACTTATGATGATGCTGAGCCTGCCGACTTTTTCGCGGTAAGAAGATATGATATCACAGTCAAGGAGTTTCTTGGAAAATATACGCTATTTGTGTTTCCCGTGCAAATAAAACTATAAAGAAAGAATATAACCATTAAAAACACTTTATCTTAAAAATATAGTGTCGTTTTGGTAATTTTTAGGTGACTGGATTGAATTCGCTACAAGTAAAAGCTATATAAGCCAAACAAAAAGGTGTAACACGTTGAAAAAATTTTTGGTTTGGCATTGCCTTTGCAATTGTTTCTAAAATTACATACAAATTTTCTGATGTAACATAAGATTGCAAAATGCCAAATATTCGCATGATTTTTCCAGGAATCTTTGTAGATTCACGATTTTCAACGTTCTCTGCACGTTTCATGATTTTTTTAATGATCACATTTATTTACTAATTAAGTTATTACTTCTTATCAAAATTCTAGAAGCAAGTTTGGATTCGTCGTGTACAGGCTTTCATGGATGGTCATAGTGTTATCGGTTTTTGCCGCCGAACCTGCTTAGAAATACCGCAACAACTCAATTGTTCAATTCCCGTTTTACATGACTTCATGGTGCGAACTTCTCGTAGTGACTTACCGGTAATTATGTGATTTGGGCATTGGCGTTCTACGGCAGGCATGATTGTAATTTATATGTGGATTTCGCTAAGTTGGCATTAACTTCGGACTGTCACAAAGAAGATTGTATACATTTTTCACTGCTGATTTTACTTTTGGCAGATTGAATATCTTTATCGATGCTCGATTATTTTTTATTATCACCGCAGCAAAAATGTGGAATGTTATTAATTCGTTACGTCAGAATCGGAACTTTCTCTAATTAAATTGAAAAATAAAAATAAACGCTGCTTGAATATTTTTCAGAAATTTCGTCATTATCTGAATCTTACCCGAAAGAAGAACAACTCAAGTCCTTGAAGGAATTCCAGTTTTTTTGTTTTTTTACGAAGTTACCTTTGTTTCATCCGTAACTGTGACAATAATTTATTACATTGTCCGCATAGCGGAAATCGGGGAGTAAACGCCATATCAAATCTTTACCGACACGGTTTAAGTTGTATAATATTGACGTCTGATACGCTTGTAACTCATCATTCTGCTCATTTTGCACATTGGCTATATCGTTATTTTTTTGGAGTCATTTGTGTTTTTCCACGTTTCTTATGTATAAAATTTCAAAAAATATTGACCAAAATATTGCTACAATTCCTCAAAAGATTGGTTTTTAGATTGGGATTCTGCTTCTTTTGCCCCCATGTATCTTTGCATTGGTATGCTTCCTGTAATATGTCTGATTCAGAGTATACTGATTATGTTGCATTCCCAACGAGTGAAATTTTTTTATGCAAGCCCTAATGTGTTTTGAATTTGATAAGCGTATCACACTCTCTAGTTTATACCAAAAATGCTTTGTTTATGTTGGAGCATTTTTATTCTTATTTTTTGGTTAACGAAATAATAATTTCTCTTCATTTATAAACCATATCAAATATAGGGGCCGCCCTCTTCATTTTAGATCTTCACATGTCCCCACTTCAATTTTCATCTTCGAGGAATAAAAGCAATGAGCCACAATAAAATTTCCGAATAAGCCAGTATTTTGAATGTAACTGATTGTATTTTGTTTTATTGGGTTATTTGATCTTTTACAATGGCGATATTCAAGTTTGTGACATTTCGTCTGCCTTTGCTGACGCTTTTGCAGCATTATGGCACATCTATTTTCGTGCAAAATATGCTTTGCAATATAATGGGTTTTGCTTTTGAACATCCAGCTTGTAAGTTGTATATTCTGGTTTATTTTGAATTTATAATGTTACAGATTGTGATATATTTGGTGCCTGTAACACTGTTTTTGTCTCATTCAGTGTCGATACTGTAACAAAATCATTTGATTTTTTGTTGAATAGTTTTGTAAGACAGGGCTTCATGTTGAAGTGTGCGGTGAAATGTATCTTGCGTGTGTGATAGCGCCGCATCCCATGGCCTCGAGGTCCGATGGTTGTCTTTTTTTCAGGGCCAACGAACTACCACTTTTAGGAAATTTATCCAATGAAAGGTCAAGGTTGAGCAGAAAATGTGGAGACAAAGGCTGAGACGAAACACAGCTTAAGAATAGAAGGCAAATGTAACGGGTTATTCGAATTTCGAGTTGGAAATATGATAATTTTCGAGAATGTTTGTGAAACAGAGAATTATGTGTAGCATACCGGCATGGTCTGTTCTATTCGAGCTTAGCCAGGTATAATGATAGAAATGAAAATTTCCTAATTTTACAATTTTGGCAGATATGAACGTCATATGTAAACAAAAATTAGAAATGACGTAGACCTGAGAAACATTACATGAAGGCATAAAATGAATGTTCCATGAAATCACACGCACGAGCGTCCAGACGCTTAGAAGATGTCAAGACATTAGAGCTGTGCTCTTCAACAGGGGTTCCGCGGAACCCTAGGATTCCGCAATACATGCAGTGGGGTTCCGTGAATTTCCATGGAAAATACAAATGTGTGCTGTCCCATCCCATGGGACGTTTCACATGGGATTCCCATGGACAAGCCTGGAGATATAACATTATTTGAAATTGTAAACATGTATATTCTCTACGTGAAAACCACAACCAGTATTTTGAAAATACTAAATTTTACTAAAAATTTATTTGCACGATATACTTTTTCAAATGCCCTGTGTTGTACAATATTAAACAAAATTGTCTCAGACTCTAATCTATACTTTTGGAAGTCGGATACGCATAATACTTCAAACCTAATACCAGGATATACAGGTCAACCTCTAACTAAAATTCCGCAGTCGTGAAGTTAGAATCGATTAAGAAAGACTGATACTGTTGGTATCTTTCTATAATAATGATATATAATTCACAAGGATTACGAACGTCAATATCGTAGCAAAAAGATTTCTCAGTTGTATAGGGGAATATTTGTGACTAAGCGTATAAGTATTTTACGCCCTTGTATTACCTCAGACAGACATGCGGTTCGGGGAATATTTGAACAAAGTTCCTGAGATACTTGATAAAACTAAAATTAGAACGTCACTGCGTTTTCAAACATTACGTTATTTATCTGCAATCCCCCAAATTGAAAATTGTGTAAAAATTCGAAAAATCATTTTACCAAAATTTTCGTACAACGAGCATCACAGCCTTCCTCATGGTTGGAAAAGTTTATACAAGTGAAATAATATCTCGTTCTCGATAGCACACGCGTAGTAACTATTTACGTAAATTTCATAAATAAATTGGTCGCTACGAATAGTGAAATCTAATCACCATATATTTACTAGTCCCTTTATATTTCTTGCCCATAGATATATTCAATGATATTATGCTTTTATGAACCATACCTCATAATTTGAATTTGCATTTCATTTAAATTGCTAATGATAGTAGCCTTCGTCCTACAGTATTTGTAACAAAATACTCTGTATGCGCCTCACATACCAACAACCCCCCCCCCTGCCTTGATAAAATTAGATGTGACGTCACAATAGCAAAATAACCTCGGCGAAGTATTTTCGAGTTTTTGCATCTCGGATTCTAGCTAGCGCGTATTAATTTGAATTTTTACTTTCTGTTTTATTCTTCATATTTAATCTTAGTCTTATTTCAGTGGATGTGCAGAACGTGTTATATTGATGAAATATATATTTTTAAACATAAAAAATAATGTAATTGAAACTGATTAGCTATTTTGGGGATTAGACATTGTAGATACTGAGAATTACATTCGTTTTTGGAATGTTTAGTTTCCAGGACTGGTGCATATAGTGAAGTTGCAAAATTGCGTATGTCTCCAAGTCATAGACACATTTCTGCCTAAGTCACAGTGCGCAATTATGACGTCACTTAACTGCGTCATACAAATTAACTTAAATCCGGCTACGATCAAAAAATTGAACCATAGCAAATTATTGACTCTCAATTGCATAACAAAATCATGAGGAAGTTTTTTACGTTTTTCTCAAAACTGCTAAAAATGACTTACGCAATTCGGTTATTAGCTTGACGATATTAAAGATTATCCTATAATACAACTACTTCATGGAAGGAGTGGATTGATCAAAATCCTGGGTAGCAATAATCTTTCCATTTTTATATCCCTTTGTAGAATTTTTTTAAAAAAAAGTTTTTCGTCTACATAATGGTACTTCATCATTATCAAAGATGCTTAATTTTCTCTACCATTTATGTCTGGAAAGTAATTAACATAGACACATAAAATTCCCATTATAATAAGTTTTTTGAAAGGAACTTACAGATATCAGTATCCGTCAAGAATGTGTGAACAAGTCATGTAATTTTTTTCATGTAGCCTCCTCACAGTATTTATGTAATATTCGTGTTTATTTAAATTCAATAATATTTTAAAATATGGTGTTTACCGTGTAAAGTTAATGCTTCAAACTTAAAAATTTTATAATGAAGTTGTAGCCGTTCTGCTGAGCTGTTTACTGTTTGCGATTCTAAAGTGGATATTTGAATAATATTATGCACTCACACGCTCCAAATAAGATTTTAATATGAAATAGTATTTGCATGAAGTTATTTACGACCAGTCGTGAAAACAATATTGTACATGAAACAAATTACAAATTCTTCGTATATTAGAATCTAAAAGGTGTTGCCTATAGCTCGCAAATATTTATTAGTTTGTCTGAATAATTTAATAATGCTGAGTGTTTTAGGCTGTAAAACATTCTTCGAAATGTGCCACAAATAGACCTTCGCAAATAGCAAGCCAAAAGGTAACAAGTAACAAGTTTTGACTAGTCATATCATACTAGTCAGTTGCTTAGCACGAAATCAGGAACAACTATGCAAATAGATGTTGCCAAATCGACCTGACCTTGAGTCTATTTGCCAAAGTATTACGTTGGGGGCTCCGTGAATTTTGTGAGTCACACTGTTTTTATTTTCTTATACTGCATGTTAGATTAAACTAATTAGATCATATATTTGCTATAAAACATTTTTCAATTAAGAATTTGAGAAGGCGTATACAATATCAGTCTTCATTTATTTTTGAGTGTCGTAATAAGCGCCACCATATCAATCTGGTAATGATATTGAAATGGATGAGTAAATATTCATCAAGTCTCTGAGAAGAGTCGGCCTCGTGCCAAGAATCTCCCACACTGAAAAATACAAATTAACTGGTAAAGTTTTTCCGCTTTGGATGACAAACAATATACCGATATCATAGTCGTAGTTAATTTAATTTTATTCCATCAAGTAAAAAAATAACATATACCAAAGTTCAAAAAGGTAAATAAAATTCAACAAACATTCAACTGGGGACTGGAAGCCCCGGGAAACCAAATTTGGTTACCGAGCAGCGACGCCCAAGGTTCAACAAAGATTCACAATAAAGGTTACGAGGTGGCTAGTTACATGGCGTATTGCTATGCAATGTCTCTGATCAAACCCATCGAATATCTCTTGGGGTATTCCCCGATTGACCAGGCAAACAAAGTTCAGAAAATCCGAACGGTATAGCTTGATGGGAATAGCCTATTTGCTAACTCTGCCATTCAATTAAATCCCGTGGCGGTGTGTCGAGGGATAGGCATTGAAAGAAATATGATAAAATATTAAAGATAACAGGTAATATGATTCTTATAGCATTAAATAAAAACACCAGATACGTACGGTACTTAATTAGACGAAGTACCGGCAAATAGAAACTATATCTGAGACAATGTAAATCGCCGAAATTCAGTGTGTCCATGGCTCACATGCTATTTTAGTTTTTAAAATATATTTCATAGTTAATGGAGTTGAAACATTTGATTGTTCTCGTGATGTATCTTCTTATCTATTCTTAAATTACCGTTGGGCCAACACACTCTAATTTCTTCCCATATAAGCTAACCAATGTTGAGTATATCCGATCAAATTGTTATTGCAATAAATAAATAGTATTCCATGGAATTCTATCGCGGTTCTTGGCATTCTTAACTGCGATAATGACTTCGCAAGATCGCAAAATTGCAAATAAAAAAATTAATTATATTCGGAGTTCGGACAGTTTACCGCACATTTTATGTTCGCAGATTGCTGTGATATTTTAAAATAGTAATGCTTTTATTTTTTCCTAAGTACAAAAATACGAATCAGAAATTAATTATAATCGGGCAGTTTACACATTTTATGTCCGCAGACGCTTTTATTTTTTCGTAACTCGACGCAACCGTGAGTTACGGTGAACAAAATTAAATTACGGCAAGGCATTTTAAATGTTGGTATCGGTACGGAATGGAATTTTTTGCACAACAGAAAGTCATCCTTTGAAAAGGTCGAATGTTTTAACTATATTAATGAAAATTATTTGCCTCAAAGCGGGAAAAAGTATGAATTACTTTATTTTTCTAAACTTCTGAATAAATCAACTTATTTTTTCCGACAATTTATCGTAACACATCGCTTAAACATAATTTATTTAATATCTGGCCTTGGTTGGATCTATGCGAAAAGCACTAACCGCCACCATGTTATATATTACTCTCCATCAATCGGCCAATCGTTTTCAAGAAATATACTAAATTGCGTCTAACACGCTCCTTTTGAACGTACACAATATTTAATCAAATTTTGATTAGACTTTCGATCGCGAAGTTCGGGACTGATAGAGTGGCACGGGATTAGCTGGACAGCTTTCTAAAATCGAGTGCGTTTGGTTATTAATTAGAGCTTTACATGATTCTCAATTTCCCGCCGTTAACTGGATATGAATGCGTAAATTAAGTGGAAGCCTTGCAAGGAAATGGCGGCAATGTACAACGCCCAACCGTGCAAATATGTCGCATCAATATGCGCCGCACGCACAAACAGAATATAACAAACAATCAAAGTGCAGAAAATCGTTTGAAGACTTTCATTGAAAACGAAACACCTTGTTGACGGCGAAAAAGTGGCCATTATTAGGAATTCGATATTCGATTCATTATGGACAACCCTGAGTTCATTAGAACAATAATTTGTTATAGACGATCGTGTGAACATTTAATCAGTTGCTCTTGGACATATAATTAACATATCATGTTAATTTCATTGCTCATGACAATGTTTTAAATTCAGAGTTCAAATGTGAACTAAGCAAAAACAGATGAATAATTGACAAAAAATACAATAATAATTATTTGTCATAAAAGGAGACAAGTATTATGAAATTGAGAAAATTAGTTGCTTCGATTTGAAAAGTTGATAAAACATGCTTCGTATTCTAACTTGGAGAGCATTCCACATAATAAGACACTAATACTTGAAATGAGATTTGAGTCTTAGTGTAAGTCTGGCAAGGTACGTGGAATGATGATGTTGATTGATGCTGATCCAGTGTTATAATTGTAAAAACCGCTTGGCAAAGTAGTTATTGAATGCCTTTGGAAGTCGAAAATTATGGAATCGATGTATCGATTTACAAATTTCCAGTTGATAAATATCAGTATACTTAATTAATGAGACCAGTTTTGTAGTACATGGTATCCATGTATATATATGCCATCCAAATCCATGCTTCCGAAAACAAAACAATATAACTAATCCCATACCCGACTTGGAATGGTAACCGGACGAGAGGCCGTGGTTCGCCATATGGATAAGCCTTCTTATCAGCTTTCCTCTCCCCCGGGATAAATATGTAAATCCTATCCTATCCTATCCATGGTAAATATGAGCAGTAGGCCTATATAGAGAATTTATCAGCCCTATCCCGTAAAACGTTTATACGATTTGGCTGCATATTGGATATATATTTGAAAGAAGGAATATCGAGATAATATCGATATCTAAGACCAAACATCAACCATATTTTTGTAGATGAAATAAACGCACTGGCAGGAATAGATGGATGATGTTTCACGTGAAATGAAAAATTATTACCTTCAATATGCTCTCTCGTTACGAATCTTGTACGTCGAAGCAGAACAAAATAAATTAGTGTTCGATAAGGGAATCGGCTGTTGAAAATGTATTTTGAGATTCCTAACAAAGAAAATGAACCATGCAATTTTCAATGATTTCAACATGTTTCCTGATATTAATGTGGTAGACATAGTACAATATATATATATATATATGTAAGGAATCCAAAGCAATTCTATAGACCAGTGCTTCCCAATCTTTTTCAGTTCGCGACCCACTTTGATTGCCATTTTTGCGAGACCCACAATGAGATGCGAAACAATCCATACGCAATTTACTAGAGCGAAACAAGTTCTTGCGTGTTGAATATTATCAGATCAAGTCGAGACTTGATAGGAGACGAGCTCACACTCAACGTAGCATCAACACTTAACACATTTTGCAGTTGGGAAGTGACTTTGAATGAAGCACATTCCTTGCAATCGTTCATGAATATAAATATTTATCTTTTCCACTTGAAAGAAAAAATGCTATGAAAATGATAGCTGGAAAATTGCAAAACTCACTGTCAGTCATAAGCTTCTTTTCCTAATTTTTACTCGCCCTTTATTTACCAATATGTTGACGTCATAAAATGACGAGTCTTCTGGTTGTTTAAACACGTGAAAATGCGCTTTAACATGAAAATTTCGAACTTATTAAACTCATAGGATAGAGATAAAACGAAAGTTTTTCAAATCTTTCTGCTGAAAAACCCCTTAACTGAAAAATAACAAACATGACGCCGACGCGCCTTGCCAGGATGATGCACCGCATTGAGATATTGGGGTATTTCCACACGTCCCGGTGGTCAGCACTCTACGTGTATGTACAGAATTAATTTCTAGTAAATACGAACTTAGTCAATCTTCATCTCGTACATAGTTTGATACTGATAATTAAGAAATCCAGGTTGAGTAAAATGATTTCCCGAAACCTGTGAAAATTTCAGTTGCAACAATAATACGTCATAAGTAAGACGTTAAATGATATACAAACATTTTCTCATACATTTACCTGTTGCCAGTTTAAAATCTCACACACGTGTCTCGCATATACATCTCACATACGTGGTCTTACCATATTGTTTACCTAGCTTAAACCATACTTGCTTTTGCCACGTCTCAATCGGTATACCCCTGTTGCACAACAAAGTCATTTCTTTTACATAGCATCTATTGTTCCTGGCAGTATAATTTTACCCGAGGTTACCTTTCATCTTAATGAAAATTTGATAAATTTGAGCTGTTTACCGCAGAAAGCACACATATACGTATATAAAAATTTGCTTTGTATACACTGTACTCGATTTATCCAGTCAAAGCTCGCTTAAATATTTTCTTTGTGGCTTCAAACTTTCAACATTAAAAGTATCGGGATTCGTGATAAGAATGTAAAAGAGTTCGCGAACGTTTTTAGCATAATTCATCTGCTTTTGTTTTGCTATTTGTGATCGTGTGTTTATCCGTTTACCACAAAGCGATATAGTTAGAAATTTTTTGTTTGTAACAATACCCTCAATCTAAAAATTCTTTGAGTATGAAATATGTATAATATGACGTAAAACAAGTCATGTAAATAGTAAAATAGTCTGACGAATAATATTGCTGAATCACTCTGCGATAGACAACAAGATATTTACCGCTATTCGTTTTCCCCTTCGGTTCATACGATCAAAATAAGATTTAAAAAGTAGTTCTCAGGATGAGCTACTTCGTGTAAATATAATTGAGTATAAATTTTCAAATATAGGAATTATCCAAACTAGAGCGTGAAATAAATATACAAACACACAATGTAAACGGATCACCGAATAATCACCCTAACAACACACAAAATCAATTTCCCTATTGATTGAGGAATCAATTAAATGCTTAGAATAGTAATTTTATAGCAATTTATTTTTTCAATTGAAATATCCCTTTGAACAAATCGAATTTGGGTATTGCGGTTTGAAAACAGATTAAATTGCTCATATTTCATATCGTATTAATTCGCAGTTGATACTTGCGAAATATTACAAATGTGAATATATAAGCAGAAAATAAATAAATAGTAAAATATTCAGTATAGTTTACAATATTATGAAGAGAACTAGCTTTTGAAATTTTCAGGTCTGAGATAGACCATTTAATATATATGAATAGTTCTATATAAATAGAAAGTCCCGTTGTAGCTGAGCAAACAGACTCGTAAAACAGACGGGTATAAATGCTCGTTGATCGCATGTTTTGGCCACAAAATTTTGCAGATTTTGAGAGACAGTGAAGTGTCAAATAAAAGTTGTACCTTCAGCAGCAGCCATAATATAACGCACGATCAAAGCAATACTGTAAACTTATTTTATTACAAGATATAAAACTTTATAAAACTTTTTTTATGATTTGCGATAAATTGCGGTTGTAATGCTCTGTACGCCCCTAAAAACACGACGATTTTTATAACTAGATAAACACGTAATACTTTGATTGGAAGTGTGTAGTGGTCGTCTGATTTCAAGACAAAATGTATTCGTTTTGGCCAATATAATTGCAAGTATGACTTGTCTAAAGCATACTGGTAAGACGAATATTATAAATTTACATCATAAAAATTATTTAATTCCCGCGACGTACTTTGACAAAGAATGGATAAAGTACGGCAAATACCACCATTGAAATCTCCTTCTCCATATGTATATTGTTTTTTTCATAATTTTTGTATCCCAATTTTTACGGAAAAGTGTGACATTCAAGAATAGTATTCTCAGATATTAATATTGGTAACGAAGAATCAGATCAATTATTCATCAATGGAGAACAACAAAAGTCATCCTTCTATCGACAGGTATGTAACAAAATTGTTGTACTTTCTGTAAATTTAATAATAAGACGCCTTCAACAGTATCCAATTAGCGCCATTATAAGTTTATACTAAGTATTTGTATCTGTCATTTATCTACCATAGAAATATATATTATGTCAGTTAGCGCTATTTGCCGAACTTAGGTGACGTACCATGTCAAAGATTTTGGGGATGAAGTTCTTGTTCTCCGAACGATATGGACATTCACAATTAGATGAGTATGAATTGAATTCAACTTAACAATTTTCAAAAATAAAGGGGAAAAAATGCAAAGTATATATTTGATGAATATTGACTTCCAGTCGTGCATAACTTTTGATTATTTTATTTGATTATAAAACAATTTTCTGTCACTTAGTGGACTGAGTGCTATGGGTCAACTTCCTATTGAACTTGAACAGCAAAAGACCACTGCAGATATATCAGATGTCAATGGTAGGTCTAGTTCATAGGCTGTAGTTCTAGTTTTGGGTGTCAATTTCAAAGAATTCTCCATATTCCAGAGAACCTAAAATTAATTATTTTTGATATATAGAGCGCCCCGACTTATGCCGTTAATTCGGTGATATAATGCAATATTTTATTATTGTTTGCAACGTTTATCAAGTCGCAGTATAATTTACGTATTAAAATTCTTGGTAATAAATTTGAAAAACACGGAAAACTAGCTTAGGTATAATAAGCGCAAATAAAAGGCGACCTGATTTACTTTTTTAGAAATTGGGTTCGACTTAAACCCATGACCAAACCCGAATATGAATTCATCTACCCACAATTAGAGAGCAATTTAGGCTTGCACGTAATTGACAAAAATCAATTCCGTAATTACGACAAAATCAATTACGTAATGACCCCGTAATTGCGATATTTTTCCACGCATTTAAACCTATCATAACAACCAATTGAATCCACTTCTTTTCCGATTGGGACATTGAAGTTGGGTTTTCTTATTCTTGGCAGTATTACACGCCGTCGGCAGATGTTAAAGACAAATATCAAGGAGTGAATTCAAATTAATTTTATTCTGATTTTTATCTTTTGTGTTAGCTTTGGTTTTCCTTTATCACCTTCGCAAATTAACCGTCCCATTTTTATGCGATCAATTTCATTTTATCATTACCGACACTGGTATACGGATATTTATGGAAACGATAGTTTTTTAAAACCACCTTAGTACTGAATAAAAAATTGCGGGTTTCTAATTTATTAACCAACGACGAGCGTATTCTCTCGTTTGATTATACTTGCGATTTCCTCGCGACGAAGACTTGTTTTTGCAGCGTCTTCTGCAGTATCCGACATTACTGCCTTGTTAGCATTTTATAATAATAATTATTGATGTCGATATTCCGATTACCATGCTTCATTTTACATTTAATCATTTCGCGGACTGAATGTTTATAACATTATTTGCGATAAATTTAGATCAAATATTATTTATTTGAGTATAATTTAAATATCGAACTTATATGATATGCCTTCTCCGAAAATACAAAGTTGTATCGCAAAACAATGCATTTTGTGACATTTATTTTACACTCACGACATTTATTTGCTAACTCAAGTCGGCGATCCTATCGGCCAAGATTGACACAAGTTTGGTCGAGTGCCGTTGGTATTCAAGTCGACGATAAATCAAAATAAGTTTGTTATTTGGTAAGACAGTTAATCATATATGGCCGAAATATTGAGAGGAATTGTGAAAAACATCATGAGCAAGGCCAAGTCCGGACTGATATATAACGATAAAACCGTTAACAGAACATCAAGATTTTGTAATAGAAAATGGATCTCGCACAGAATAAACACACTGGCTCATATTTGATTATATATGATAGCAGTTAAATTTTTAGCGGTCCGCGAAAAATCTGTCGTTTTGCTGTTTCTCTGCCGTCTCAATCGCTTTACCGATGCCAAGAAGACGAAGTTGCGTTGGTTCATTACGCAATCTCTTTTTTGTCGTCATATTGCTATTTGATTAGCGCGACATTAATTATCACGGCGAGGTATTGGCGCGAGTGATCAATCGCTCTTTTCGCTTATTTGGTTCCAATTCGTCGCGAAAGCTCTTCGTTAAATTTCACAAGATCGTCGTGTTGAAAAGTTATGGATATTTTCCTGTTTATACCCCAAGTCTGAAATAAAACAGCCAAAAACAGTATGATATTCCATGTTCATATATCAAGTGTTGATATTAACAATAAAGAATGGTTAAGCATTGCTAATCCACACTTGGTGGGGAATTCCCACTATTTAAACGCGTGACTATAAAATAGAATAAAATAGAAACGGAACATATATACCATCAGTAACAGAAAACTGGAACAAGTAAATAATGAATAAAAGTAAAATGGATACAAATGTTTGATAGACCATGTTTGAAAGATTGATCTCCTGCGTTCATTAGTCATTTCACCCGAAGAAGTTGAAACCGGGCGTGTTAGCGTCCATCGGTCTTAACACAATTCTCCCCCTATCTACGGTTATTATGTACATTGGCCATGGCCATGCTAGATAAGATGGGAGAGAAGTTGAAACCAGGTGTGTTGGCGTCAATCGGTCTCAACGCAATTCCATCCCTTATCTACGGTTAAGTTACGGGAAAGTTAAAACCAGGTGTGTTGGCGTCAAACGGCCCTACTCAGTTCTTCCTCCTTAACTACGTTAATAATTTACATTGGCCATGCCGTTGATAATAGGTCAGTAAATGGCAAAGCGTCATGCCTTCCTTCACCTACGTAACAAGAGAGAGAAAAGGGAGAAAAACGGCTGCGAATACCGGAACTCTAACTTCTTCTACTTGTTGAGCTTTCATTTTTCGCAATCGACGAATTGACTGCTTTGAAGAAAGCTCGTTTCAATGCAATAATTACGACTTTACGTAATTCGTAACTTCCTTTCCGAACTCCAAATAATTACGTAATTCCGTAAATCAGTAAATTACGTGCAAGCCTAGAGAGCATATATTTATGTTATTTATAAAGAATTTCCAAACATGCCAGCAGCAAGTTATACAAACACACACGTGTTGGCGAGCGCTGAATATCAAAGATATAAAAGCGAAGCAGTAAAAATCGCAGAAGATACTTTAACTGATGGTAAGAGAGTCATCACAAATCCAGGATGGCATGCAGGAAAGTCAGGCCTTCATCAAATTCCTTTGGATATGGACAAAGCTAAGTCACTGCCTGGTATGATTTAGCGTTACTTTGTTTTGTAACTTTTTATTATTTCTCAACCTGAAACTGACTTCAAATCAATCATATCAGAGAGGGAATACTTGTGAATAAACGAAAATAATGTCGCAAACACTCATTAGAAGTAATAGACCTTCGTCATTACTCTGCGTTTCATTGTATTCCTCCTGAAAAAATTTCTTCAACTTTGATTGGGTCTTGTCTTTGTTGAGCACGGGTTGCTCGAAACGAGTGAGTGCCAATGTCGAAAAATCATACGAATGACTTGTTTTCCAGGTTATGGGATTACTGGAGATACGTGCTGCAGCAAGAATGCACTCTTTTGTGCAAATATTTGCGGTTGCCCATCGGAAAAAACATTGCGAATTGGCTCAATAAAAGTAGTCTCTCGAAGTAAGAATTTTACATGAAGTATTTTGCGTTTCAATAAAATACTTTATTATCAAAGGATAATTCATAAAAATGAAGTAGTCAGCAATCACTGATTGGCTTCAAAATCCCTTTTTTGACGTTATATAGAAGCAAACCAATCTAAATCTCTCACATTGCAAAATCTATTACAATGGAATTCAACGCGATTAATTTCAGCTATACAACCGATGTGGGCAGAAACATTCGAAATATTTATCACACACCGAACTTGATATAAATACAAATTAGGTATCTGGGATCTTTTGTGCTTTAAAAAACAATCTAAATGTAATAAAAGAATTGTTTGAGAATTGTTACCAAATAATAACAAAAAAAGTTCTGCGCCCGCCCCTCTTGTATATCAAAAACAGCAGAATTTCTACGAAATCAGTTTATTATCTACATTTACAAATTTCAATGGGAACCATAGCGAGGGTGCTTCGCTGAGAAATTCGCTTAAATTTTCAAATAAATTCATCGGATTTTTATTTTTTGTGTCGGCCTTGATTGTCCTTATCGCCTTCGTGAAATTAAATAAATAACAATATCTGTATGACTGGCTCATGGATTCGCTGTCTTTTTTCTGTTTGTATTTTTGTTTTGTTATTTTTGCTTCAAATCAAAACCTCTGAAATGTTGCTACTGCTTATCCGTTGAAATCTAATAGAATTCATTTAATGGTATTTCATATTCGAATTGATATACCCGCTCGGAAATTTTAGTTTTTTCGTTATTTGTATTGGTGATTTGAATTTTACCAAATGGCCCGCTAAAAAGATGTGAAACTCATGCGACACTGGCGCACAATAAGGTCGAGTGCGTTGTGCAATCCAATCGCCTACGAGCGAGGCGCGATTAACGTGTCATGTCCACTAGTATTTTAATTGTTTGCTGTTCGAATATTTCGCCTAGCCCTACGCAGTAATCGGTAATTATTAACTAGATTCATTTTATAAGGATAAAGTTGACTTTTATAATTTATGTAAATACTAACGTAAATCGTTACATGGCTGGTACCTAATTCTGATAAAACGCACAATGAATTTCGCGACACTAAAAAAGATACTACCAACTACCACATAACTTTCTAAAACGTCATTGCTCGTTGAGGACTCATTCAAACGGTTGGGAAACACGGTTCTAAAGCCTCCGGTAGACCGGACTGCTAGACAATTTAATTGTATCAAATACGGTATGCCTGGTCTACCCTGGTTTGCAAATTCTTTCGTTGTAAAATCTATGTCGTATTTCTAAGAACAACACCATAAATCTTGATACATTTTTACCAAAAGTGATCTTTAGTAGACGTACTCGAAATTAAATTATGACGTCATACAGCATTTTATAAACGAATGAAAGTTTGCGCATTCTAGAATCTAGACTGTTTTTTATTTCTATTAGTTATAATGGCGGTACTTGCGTGGGGATTTGTCTGGTCCGTTACTTTCCCTCCATGTGCTACTGAAAATGAAGACGCTGAAAATGAAACTATCAGTACAACATCTCACACTGAAACCACAGAAGAATGTATCATACCCGGTTTACCCGGATCCAGCTTGTTTGGTAAGACGTGACGATAAGTTATTTATCAATCATTACATTTTTTTGCATATTGAAATGTTTATAGAGCTATTCAATATTATATTATATGAAAGGCGAGGGAGAGTGTTTTCCTAAGCTGCACTGTGTGTCGAAAAGAAGCATTTTCGCGATTGTTTACCGTTTGTGACCAATAAATAGAACGTTAAGACAATCACAATGCCAAGTTATATTCTTTTAATACTCATCACTGTTTTCCATTATTTATATTCTTGAATATAGGATCTCTAAATAATTCAAGATATAAATTTTCAACTAAATTACAATTTCAGCTATTCTTATGATTTTCTTATTTGGAATGGTTGCAGAAGCTCTTATTGTGCTCATACCAATGCCAGCCAACTTACCACCCCTACCACCACTACTTGGTAAGTATCGACGTTGCCTTTTGTTGATGTGAACGAGCTCGAATTGATCTCGATTACCTTTTTCTCTGCGATTTCTGTAGGTAGCCTACTGATCGGTATCTTGCTACGAAATGTACCTGGTATCAACATAGCAACTGATATTGACGAACTCTGGTCATCGAGGCTTCGCAATATGGCCCTTGGAATCATTCTTGGTAGAGCTGGACTTGAGGTTGATAAAAAGGTATTACACCACACCGAAATGCAAACCTGGTTGCACTAGCTCATATTTTTTTCTAACTCCTCGTTGCTTTCAGCAAATGTACAATCTTCGTTGGGTTGTTCCGAGACTTTCGTTTTTGCCTTGTATAACAGAAGCATGTTCTTATGGACTCTTTGCTCACTGGATTCTTGGCTTGCCCTGGGAATGGTCTTTCATGCTCGGGTAAGTTCGATCTCATTTTTTTTTTTGAATGAATGACACATATACTAGCACTTCAATATAGCCATAAACGGCGTGTTATAGCATATATATATACCAAAAATGAACAGCTGTATGACGTTAGATATCCTTTGATTGAAGACGCCAAATAGCAAGTTCGAAACATATGCTGAAGTTTCTGAAATCATTACACGACTTGTCAATTTCTTTTAATTAATCAGCTCTGAAGGATAAATATGACGTAAAACAACTGTACAACTGTACAAGCGCAATCAGTAATTTCTTCCAGACGTAAATAAGAACCCAATTAATTACTTACCACAATAAATTTCACGCGTTCGATTCACCATTATATGTGTTTACCTGACGATTTTTTCATTTTGGCCATGGCGTAACCTTTAGTTCAGTGCTTTCAAATATATATATAAGTTTCGGATTTTACCGCAGCCCAGGTGGGTATTATGTGCGAGAGAATTGCTAAACTGTCAGTTACCACTACCCTCACTGTTCACGTCTCTTCAACTGGAACGGTTTTTTAGTTAACTAAAAAATTAGCCAACCTGAAGACAGAATTTGTACTGGTAACTGGACGAGAGTGCGTATGTGATTTAATCCGCCAGAAACAGACATGAAAATCCTGCTCTCAGTTAATGGTTTGTGTAAAATGCTCCATCACGGCTTATTCGCCACCTACAAACGACCAAAAAAAAAATTCAACACATACGAGTGCTTATCTGTACATCAAATTTGTTAACATCTGAGTCAAAATACAATTCAATTGTCAATGAAGTACTTTAAATAAAATAGTGTTGTCCAATTCACGAGCCAAATTCGGCCAAGCGTTTTTAGGTACTGATTCGGACAATTATGATATTGTAATAAATATCATTGTTATGCTTGAATTGTGTGAAAATAACCAAAAATAGTGATGTTGAGTACAACATAATGGTGCACGTTGTCATAATACTATATTTGGGACCTTCTGCTTTCGAAAGATTTATTACGTAATATCATTTATTCATAAATTACCGTAACAAATATATAGGGGGTGGGGTCAAACAATTCGGTTTAGCTCACAATTAAGTTGATGCAGTACGCAATTCTTGGTAAGAAAAGAGAATGCAACTTGAACGAGAAAAATTAATAACAATAAAACATTGTTCTATTTTAATCCTAGTTCGTATGATCGGATTTGTTCCGGGCCTTACTCAGGTTTATAACATAAGTTGTATTTATAATTTTGTCACATATATAAAATTCATTAATCACATATATATTGTTAGTATTCGTAAAAGAATGAATATTAAACCTCATTTTGATGAATTAGGAATAAAATATAAATTTATTATTAACAAATTCAAGCAATATTTTATTTTTCAGCTTCGTTTGTGGTGCCGTCGCTCCAGCATGCGTTGTCCCATCTATGATAAAGTTTCAAGAAGAAGGATATGGGGTAACTCGTTTTCAACTTTTTGTTTACAGTAATAAAGACTTTATTAAATCGAATTTGCAATATATATTGATAACAGTATCCAAATTAAATCAATAACCCTTTTTCATTTCATTTAAGGTCGACCATGGAGTACCGTCTTTACTGATCGCAGCTGCGTCGATAGACGACATCGTTGCAATTAATGTTTTCAATATCTTGCTCACAATTACATTCGGAGGATCATGTAAATACCAGTTCTCAATTATTAAATATTCTGGAGCAAACTAGATAGTTAAAAAACCGCCAGAGATTAATCATGTTTACAAATGAAGTCGGATATGAAATGGTCGCTATATAGTGTAAATTTAATTTAGGATTTTATTCTTCAATGTGATTTTATAGGTTTCATTATTAATTTTTACAGCTATCGGATACAATATTGGAATAGCTGTAGCAGAAATTGTTCTTGGAATAGTTTTGGGTTTTGTTGGTGGTTTCTTTCTTCAGAAGGTTCCTGATAGACGCCAGGTAAACACAAATTCTCTTAAACAATGTGTGCGTTGGCCCGATTATCATGATGTAGAAAAATAAACATTTCGAATTGATCATCTTTTTTTTTTATTAAAAGCACAACGTCGTTCGTGATCGTACATTCCTGTTGATTGTTTTGTCATTTTTCTTCATATTCGTAACCGATGGACCGATTGATCTCGCCGGTGCCGGCACTCTCGGAACATTACTGTGTTCGTTCATAGCTGCAATTGGATGGCAGCACAATCAGGCGGTGGGGTTTATATACTTTATTGTTGGAATGTATTTAAAATAAACAAATTATAGTTGAGTATTTCTTTTCTCATTTACTTAAGACCAACTCCTTCAACTCATAATGATTCCATATTGAAGCGCGATTCAGCCAACGTACTTTTTTATAAGCTTGGCTAGAATTTTGTACCAACATTCACGCTCGCTAAATGTGATATCCTACCGTTTTGCAGGAAGCAGTTGCTCAACACTTTAAAGGAATCTGGTTTTTCTTCCAACCGTTATTATTCGGATTGACAGGAGCCACAGTGGATTTTTCAAAAATGGATGGACACACCGTAGGTGAGAAGTATACTCATTGTTCGTAGATTTCATAGCGACTTTGGTAAGACTGAGTGCACAACAGGATAACATAATAAATGGCATATGTCCATTAACTTTCATCACCCAAGTATTCTAACACGTCCAATTTAGTGACAACATATTGGCTTTTTAATTTACAAAATATTTACACGAATAGAATGAAAAAAATATATTCAAACAAACGCAATACTATATCATATAGCTTTGTGAAAGTAGTCATAAAGGTATATCATATGGTGTCATCAAAGTATTCAACTACCCAAAATTGTAATCGTTGGCCAGTTGAAAAAACAATTGCCAACCTCAAATAAATTATATTGTCACCAATGCGTCAGTGCACTTTATTAAAAAAATGTTTTCAAATGATTCTGCAGCTTTATCCCTTGGGTGTATGCTGATCTGTCTCGCTATCCGACTGACCGTAGCTGGCAATGCTGTTTCGTTTCTTGGGTGGAGTCACAAAGAGAAATTTATGACGGCGATTTCATGGATTCCGAAAGCGACCGTTCAGGTACGCGTAGCATTCTTCACTAACAAAAAAGCACAATGGAACGAAGATAATGTGACATTAAAGATAAATATATATATATCATTTGAAATTTTCTTTTTATTTTATTTCAGGCAGCAATTGGAGGTACAGCTTTGAATAAAGTCCATTTGGAATGTGGAGATATCTTGTCCAAATCGTATTGTGAACATCCAGCGGAAGCAACGAAAAGCGCAATGGCAAACGTGACAAATGCAGGTTTGCTTGGTGATCAAACTTTTATTAAGATCTCAATCAAATTGTAATAAACGGCAATATTATTAATAAGGATGGTGTTGTGGTGGTAACTTTGCGCTGTATGAGAAACAAAATCGTCACCTGGATATAGTATGACACAGATGGTGGAACCAGAAGTAAAATTTAGGAACTAAGTCTTCTTTTCAGGTTCTGACGGTTCAACACTGAGATGAATATCCTGTTCCATCTCTTCCAAATCCCCCAATCCGAACGGTCTACGACCCCTACGTATATTAGATGCATTTCTGTTAAAATTCTAGAAGTTGAAAGAATGTCGCTCAAGTTATTACATATGTTCTCTTGTTGTCTGTCTGAGAGATGGCATTTCCTAATAATCTGCTAGAATCGTTTCAATTGATAATAATTTGCCTTCGAAAAGTATATATTTTTGCATTTCATAGTTTTTGTTTTGACTCATTTTTGATAATATTTTTCCTCAAACCTTTAAATTTATTTTGCTGCAGTTACAAGGCACGTGTTTAAAGCCATAGATGATTGCATTGTTGAAAACACAACAGAAGCCTTCACATACGAAAAATGCAAAAATGACGAAGAGTATGCGTTGATAGTAAGTGGATACCCAAACGATTTTATAATGATCTATGATCAAATATCAACTGTGCTAATCTAATATTCTCAGATTCTGCAAGTTTCGGTTTTATTAATCCTCATAACAGCTCCTGTAGGAGTATTTCTCATTGGGGTTGCGGGTCCAAGGCTGCTAAAAAGATCGCCAACACATGCACAGAAAGCTGACGAAGAGCAAAATGGCGAACTTCACGAGGTATGGTAAGAAAACTACCATAACAGGAGCGGATAATTTTGTTGACAAAATTGACATAATTAAATTCTCAAAAACATAGTTGTTTGAAACAAGTATATTTAACAAACAAACAAGTGATTTTTTTAATAACATAATCGTCATCTTCATGTTGATTCTTTTGTTTTTCTGGTATGGTATAAACTTAACAAAGCATTACGTTGCGTAATTATTCATTTTAAAAAATCCGGCTTCCTATGTTAAGGATGCCAGCGATCATTCTGATACCGGAGTGTGGGATGATGGTGTTTATTCAATTGAGAATGGACTTTCAGGTAAATATTGAATAACATTTCTATTGTATAATATACGCCGAAAATTGTTCTAACAATATTCAACAACGAGAGTTTCTTCATTATATGTGTCAATAAATGAGATAGCAATTCACTACACTATTTCGATGCTTGGCCGTTAAACTGATTTTGAAAACCAATAGCTTCAAGCTATGTAAGTAAGAAATGGCATCTATGGCAATCCTGGGATACGTCATTTCTAGCCGATTTTTTCTTATTTTAGCTTTGAGGATAATGTATGTATCTAGAATGTTGTACTGACTAGATATGTAAGGGCTAAATATATGATAAAGTCATGGCGTTCCATATTATTAGGCTGAATTTTCTCATTGGCTTCATAGAAACTCGCATGTTATTCTTCTATATATCAGTTCATTTTATTAAACTGTGACGAAGCACGTTGTCACAAGAGATGTGTTTGTCATATAGTCAGAGTGCAATATGTCCGATCAGACATGCAGTGATTGTCGACCCAAATTTCAAAATCAATTCCCAACATATCGTTAAAAAAATTCAAGACTAAAATAATCGTTCCAAGTGATTCAATTGTCATGCTGCACGCTAGCTCAAAATATCTTTGTAACGTTTCGTCTGACAAACTCACACTTCTTTAGACATGCATACTTCAAATTGATGTTTCAGCATATATTTGTGTTAGTGGTAACTTCGATCTAACTGAAGTATCCTTGCCTTATGTGCATACGGGCCCATCTACACAAACGAGGACAAAAAGGATGATTAGATCCCATAGAAACCGTATCGCCAGCTAAAATTATCGCCAGCTATAATGATTTTAATATCTTAATATTCACAGGAAAAACGAACTTGAATTATGAAGACGAAAATGACGGCGAAACAAAACTATAGCAAAATATAGAAGGTATACGCTGGAATGAATGAATAAGATTTTTTCTAATTGAAGAAATTACCAATCACGAAAACTTCGAACGTTTAAAAACAATATATTCAATCGAATCTAAAAAAAGAAATACAATAAGGCGGTACTATCGGCGATTTTGTGATACGCTCCTATAAACATAGGTTATATCGGATTTGGACACTGTTTTAAAGAATAAACTCTGGGGGTAAAGAGTAATTAGACAGAATTGAATGCCATGCCGATAAGAAAAATATAATCTGTATTCACATTTGCAGAGATATAACGGAAGAGTATTTATTTTATTCAAAATTCATCACGTTCTCTTTTTCTTTTCATGCACTGTAGCAGTAATTCTTGTATTTTGTTTTTGCATTGTTTATTTGTGGTATAACATTTTACAACTATCGTAAATTTCAATTAATACAAAAACTTTAAAAGCTGATGACGTCGTCCATCGCTTTGATTAATCGTCATAGTTTCCTCAGTTTCCTAGGTTGATTGTCATGGTGTCCTGATGTGTTTCTCGTCGACATCTTTATAGATACAACGCAAAAAGATATCCGATTACTCGCATAGGGTCTTCAACGCCAGCAAAGTTTGATGACGACTTTTCATGTTTGCAATTCAACATAGACGGCAATACATATATTGAAACAAAACGGGTGAATTTTTACCACGGTGAGAACTTGGTCATTGACCCTTTTCGAGGCAAATTAATAAACCTTATATACATACGAAAGAAATACTTGGAAGGCAATCAGAACTGTGCCTTGGGTCAAACTAAATTATTACTTATCGATTTTAATCTGTAAGTATGTTGATAGGTATCTGTCTGTCTGTATGTATGTCTGTTAGATGCACGCGATATCTCACGAAAGCGAGATCGAATCTGCTCCAGATTTTGCATGTGCATTCATCATATTTCGGACCCGAAGCCTATTGATTTTGAGCAAATTATGCCCTATAATTAGCGAGTTATTGATTAATTAGTGATGAGACACAAGGTGTCACAATGGAGTAAGAGCGCTGTTTTGGGGATGCTCTAACTTTCGATCGATAAGTCTTCGGTCTCTGCCCGATATTCTCGTATTGATATTTGATCTGTTACCGTTGAGATGATCTTAAATATTGGAAGCGCGAAATCTTCCTCGCAAGTACACATATTTGAGATAAAATGGCGGATTGCCGTCTTTCCGCACTTGATTACTGTTACTATTTGTTCGAATCAAGTTCCTATAATTCCATGTAGAATGCTACAGACTAAGTTTTAAACGATAACTTGGAGTTAAAAGTTATTTTGTAGCGGGAATACTATAAGCCAACGATTCCCAAATTTTATGTTCGTGCGGCGCCAAATTATCAGGGAAAAAACTCACGCGCACTTACACGAAAAAATAACTTGCTGCTAACGAATAAAGGCAATATCAACTCTTCAGCAAATAATAAACTGTAGCTCGCAAAATTGCAGCAAATGGCGTCTCTGGTGTTACGTAACAATAGAGGCAGAATCCATGTAACAGAAAGTAAACGACATAGAAAGGTAAAATGAATTTATTGATTCATAGACACAGCATTTAAAATATGACACAATGAAAGATTCATAATAAATACAATATGTAAAATATTCAATCATATATTAATTACGTTGAAATCAATTCTGTTAATTTTCGGAGCGCAATATAGTGCGTCGCGGCATATTCTTAGGGAACCGCTGATTTAAACCATAAATACTTTTGAATTGTCTATATAGTCTCAGTATGCAGTGACATCGAAACCAATACCAATTAGAATTATCAACGATAAAAAACAACAACTATCGTATATCGAAGTAACAAAATTTAATTTTATTTGGTATTAGGTAGAAATCATGAATAGTGAAAAATCATGTTGATTATCTTACAATTTCACAAAATAAGTTGGCTTATTTCTAACTAAATCATTTCTGAATAACTTTTGATGCTTGCCGGACGCAGGGTCGAAAGGCTTTCTGTATAAACAGGCGTAAAATGTATATTCGCGAGCTAATGATATTATACGCTGGGGATGGCGAACAAATTGACCCACCATCATGATCTTTAGATCCAAGTAACTAATTGATGCGAAAATCTACTGATATTTCTGTGATAAAAGTTGATAATAGAATTGACGTTAATTCAATCTGACAGTACGTGAACTACTCGAGTTAGTACATATGTTGTCAGAGTGGTCCATACGGAATCTCCTGTGTAAAGAATGTCTTCAGCGACTCGAATGGCATGGATCTCTGTTTTACGGCCTGCCTCATGTTCTCATAACGATTTGTGCGCAAACCGCAAAACGATTACGCCGCGAACCGGTACGGTAAATACCATACATACAGACCGGCAACAAAGTAATAAAATATTAGGAAAAAAAGAACGAAAAATTCACGTCAAAGGCAGATGGAATAAACAATTTGCTACTTGTCGTAGGTTATTTACAAATGTAAGACAATTGTCAATTCTTACCAGGTATTGTCAACGAAATTTATTTCCTATATAAACAGCAATTTGCGAAAAGCAAAACATATCCTAAATAAGGTGCAGATTGTGCCGATGAATCTTCATTTAAATGCATTTCTACCTAACTGCTAAAATACACATATTTATGCACTTAGTGCAAACAAAATATTGTATTTAGACAAGCTTACTTGATATGTCTTTGACTCGGAGGATCAATGTTTATGTAAATTCCCATCGCTTATCAGGACACGATGTCCATGAAATATGTTTAATACTGACTCGTATATTTCCCATTAGCTGTAATTGCCGACCACATGTATAACCTATTTACGCTATACAGCACAGTTTACAGTTTATACATCTTTTTGCACGCACTGAAAATGAAGTTTACAAAGACAGTGACTTGGCAATTAAAGAAGTATTAAATTAATTAGAGTGATTAGAGTTTAACGGTAAATGATATGTAAACAATTAAAATGTAAACAACTCACGCACTCATCAAGTGATGAAATCAAACTGCATGTTCACTTCTGGATTCCCTTGGTTTCTGTATGATGAGTGGTTTTGGCATTGTCCGAGAGTGCTATTTTAAGTATTATAGATATTGAACGACTTATTATAAAGGTTAGAATTATAGATGTTATTTAGGCTAAATTGGATGTCTTTGTGTGTGCAATAGTGTCTCTGTTAACCCCCATCTCAAGTACAATGCATGTTGCGTCTCCCTTCACCCTGCGATATGTTATGTTTCCTTTTATTTGTGTATATCTAGTGTATTTTCCGCATGGTGAAGAAATAAATTACTAATCACTGATATTCGTACCTGTGGCCAATGAATGCATCTAGTCGCAAAGCAATTTTTAAAGTTTAATCAAGTAAGTTCGCAGTTTTTATTTAGGTTGAATGGATATATTACATTTACACAGTTTTATCACGAGGAACTCTTATCACGTTCAACTAGATGATAAATAGTAGGGGAGGAACAAGTTCGGCATTAGCCGTATTCGATGAATCGGAGTAATAGGTCAAAACGTAAAAGCAAGAAACATGTTTCTGAGTATGTTTTCAATAATTTGCGCTTATCAACCTAAAATGTATCTTGTATCTTCTTGAATACCGCTGGCGCATGTAGCTGTTACAATATATTAAGCAGCACCTTTCCACAATTTTTGTCATATTTTTTATCACTACACGAAAGCGAATGCCATTCAGTTTTGCCTCGATTATACCCTTGCTATATTCCTGCGGACTTTTGTTAATCATGAGAGTATATTTCGCACAGCGGCGTTATTAATCGGCCGTTATGTAAAGGTTTGTAGTATATCGTGTAGAACTGATATGCACTGATCTAAAGATACCAATTTTGATTAAGATACGTGCTAAATTTCACTTAATTTAAACTAGATTCAGATTGGTTTGCTTCGATATGACATGAATTAAAAAGTATTTTCGACAGCTTTATTTTTATGAATAATCTTTTGATAAAAGTATTTTATCTAAATCTAAAATATTTCATGTAAAAATTAATTATTATCCCAAAAACCATTTTTATTGAATCAATCCGCAACGTTTTCTACGCTGGGCAGGCGCGATTATTGGCACAAATGAGTACAGCGTTGGTGCAGCACGTAAATCCGATCATCCCGTAACCCGGAAAACAAGTCCTTTTGTTAAATTTTTGCTGTTGAAAGTCATTCAATTCTCTTGCTCAACAGCAAAATCGGGATCCGATCAGTGTTAAAGTTTTTTTTTCATGGGGCACACGTTGGTACGCTGAGTAACGATAAAGGTAGGTTACATCTGATTAGTGTTCTCGGGATTATTTTCTGCAAATCCTGACTGTCTCGTCTGAAATGTACCATATATTTACAGGTATTCGCGCAGTATCTCTGAGATGATTGACTTGAAGAATGTCCCCAGTTTAGAAATAATGAAAATTTATGCGGTCATTCTGTCTGTCACGTTTTATAATCAAAAATATAAATTGAAGCTCTCTAATTTTGGGTAGATGGATTCATATTCAGGTTTGGTCAATCAAGGGTTTATGTTACGTCTTACCAAATTTGAAAAATATTGAATTGGGTCGCTAAGCTAGTTTTCCGTGCTTTTCCGACGTTTTGGCATGAGTTTTAATACGGTAATTCATACCGAGAGTCCGAGACCTGATCAACGTTGCAAACAATATTATTGAATTTATATATTGTATTATCTCGGAGCTTGAATGAATAGCATAAATCGCGACGCCCTATATTTCAGATAGCTAATTTCAGGTTCTATGAAATTCGAGGAATCTCCTGAGATTTGAAGCTAAAACTAGAACTACAGCCTATGAAATAGACTAAGCTTACTTACCATCGGCACCGAGTATATCTGCGGTTGTGTTTTACTGTTCGAGTTCACAAGGAAGTTGACCCATAGCACCCAGTCCACTGAGTGACAAAAAATTGTTTCATAATCAAATATAATAATCAAAGTCGCTGTTGGATATGCATGACTGGAAGTCAATATTCCTCAAATATATATTTGGCATACTTTGCACGTACTTTTTCTTATTTAAAAATTGACTGTGTTTGTTGTGCAGCAGGGGTATACCGATTCTGACGTAGCAAAGTATGTTCAATGGCAAACACTTGATCAACGATAGAAGATTTGTTTTAATTAAAGTCACGTATGTGAGACAAGTGAGAGATTTTAAACTGGCAAAAGATGAATGTATCAGAAAATGATTGTATATAATTTAAGTTTTATACAGTCTCATTGGTACATCTGCAAATTGCGAAGGCTGTTGGCAATACTTTGCTCAACCTCTGTTTCTAACTGCATACTATTTACGAGTCGAGTTTAAGATCGACTCTGTTTGTATTTACTAGAAATTAATGCTCTAAGTACAAATAATAGAGTGCTGACCACCGGGACGTGTGGAATTACCCCAATATCTCAGTGCGGTGCATCATCTTGTCGCGGCGCGTCGGCATCATATTTGTTATTTTTCAGTAGGGGTTTTTAGCAGGAAGATTTGGGAAAAATTCGTTTAATCTTCATTCTAGTGAGTGCAATGAGCAATTTTTTATGTTAAAGCGCATTTTCACATGTTGTTTGTTTCAGTCAACCAGAAAATGCGTCATGATACGACGTCAACATATTGATAAATAAAGCTAGAGAGAAAGGGTAAATAAAAAATGAGCAAAATCAGCTTATGACTGACGGTGAGTTTTGTAATTTTATAGTTATTACTTATATAGCCATTTTTTCTTTCAAGTGGCAAAGATAAAGATTTATTTTCCTGATCGATTGCAAGGAATTTGCTCGATTCGAGGCCACTTTTCAAACAATCGTAAGTGGATTACGGTCTATATTACATAGGATTGCCTTGAATATCTCACAGCTATTTTACTATGTCTCAATAAATACTTCTACGAGGTTTAAAGTTACGAAACATGTTATATTCATCAAAAATAGCATTTTCATTATTCAATGCACAAAATTTACTTCGAATATGTAATCAGAGTATGTAATCCCAAATATGCCCATTTTCCTGTAGGCCATGCAGTTACGAATCGCAAAAACGTATTTCCATCATTAATTCCCTATTTTGACACTAATTTCATCTTTTCTGCATTCACTTACAAGAACCATAAGAGAAAGCATATAATAAAAATAATTTTTTATTTCATGTAAAACCTCATCCAGTTATTTATCCATATCGGTATAATATTGTCATCGAAAGTGGAAAAACTACCAGTTAGTTTATTTGTATTTTTATCAGCGTGGAAGTTTAGTCGGTTGATTATTAGCATGTTGGTAACTCTTCTCAAGAAGCTGAAAATATATTTTTCTCGTCCATTTCACGACACTCAAAAATGTACGAATAAAAAAAATGATTGTATAGCCTACTTTTTCTCATATTCTTTCAATGATGGGTGTGCTACAAAATTCACAGAGCATCCATGCAAGCCAACGTAGTATCTTGATAATGGACTCAAGTCAATTTGGCAACATCTATTCACGTATTTGTTCCGAATTTCAGGCTAAGCAACTGACTAGTATAATATGACTAGTCAAAATCTGTTACTTGTCACTCATTCTCTTATCATTGAATTGTCATTGACTAAAATATGAATATGGGAAATAAAAGACCGTTGTTTACTATATGCCCGCGATCTGCTATTTGCGAAGGTCTGTTTGTAGCACATTCCAAAGAATGTTTTACAGCCTGAACACCCAGCATTATTGACTTATTCAAACAAACTAATAAATATGCGTGAAGGGATGAGAATCCTATGAGCCACATATTTTAGATTCTTGTACAATGAATTTGAAATTTGTTTCATGTACATTGTACAATCTTGTTTTTACGACCGGTCGTAAATAACTTCATGCAAATACTATTTCATATTAAAATTTTATTTGGAGTGTGTGAGTTCGTACTTCGTAGTATTCAAATATCCACTTCAGAACTGCAGACAGTAAACAGCTCAAAAAAACGTTTACAACTTCATCATAAAATATGTAAGTTTGAAGCATTGACTTTAAACAGTAAACACTATATTTAAAAATATATAAGAGGTATTTAAATAAACATGAATACAGTACTACATGAATATAGTAAGGAGGCTACAAGATAAAATCACTTGTTCACATTTCCTCGATGTGAATAATTGTTCTAGATGAATACTGATATCCGCAACCCCTTTTTAAATAACTTATTTGGATGGGAATTTTATGTGTCCATGTTAACTACTTTCCAGACAAAAACAGTGGATAAAACTAATTATCTTTGATAATGACGAAGCACCATTGTGTATGGACAAAAACTCTTTTTCAAAGCCCAAAAAAAATTATAAGAAGTGAAATAAAAATGGGAAGCAAAATGCTACTCAGGTTTTTAATAGGATTTATCTTCTCCTCTAGGGTAGGTATTTTGTTTTTCGTGGATTTTTTTACATGCTGTAATCCTGTTGTGCCAAAGCATACAATATCTACTTCATTTCAAGCCGAGAATTACAACTAATGTACATACAAATACTGTACCATTATCATCAATTTATTCGTTTTTCAGGAAATGAAAATTTTATTGTAAGTCATCGTTCATACTACAAAAACATAGCATGATATTATCGAATCTGTGCGTGGTTTAGAAATGTACAGAATATATATGATTGTTTCAACTAAGCAAGACTAATGAGTATATTGGTGAATCGATTTCCATTTTTCAGTATTTGTGGCGACTAACTAAATCGCTTTGATGTATATGTAGTTCACGTAAATAGTTACTACGCGTGCGTTACCGAAAACGAGATACTTTCCACTTACCTATAGCTTCTCCTAAATTTCAGAATAAGAAGATATACCAAGTATATGAAGAAGGCTGATGCTCGTTGATTAATGGCTTTCACAAAAATGTTCGTAAAATGATTTTTTAAATTTTCACACAATTATTACTTTGGACGATTGCAGATAATAACGAAACATTTTTGAAAGAGCTGTGACGTTGTAAACTAGTTTCATCAAGACTCTCAAAAATACGTTCACATATTTCAGTAACCGTCTATACTTGTGTTAAAACAAGGATGTAAAATACTCCAAATACTTCAAATATTCCCCCATGAGGCAATTGAGAAATGTTTTTGCTGCGATGTTTTCCTACGCTATATTAAAGTTCTTAATCCTCGTGTAATTATATCATTATCATAGAAAGATACCAACTTTTTTGTTATCGATTCCTAACTTCACGGCTGCGGAATTTTAGTTAGAGGTTGAAGTGTATATTAACTTGATAATCAATTTAAAGTATTATGCCGTTTCCGATTTCCAAAAGTAGGAATTGGACAATTTTGTTCATTATTGTACAAAACAAGAGCACTTAAAGAAACATAATATTGTGCATATAACTTTCAAAACTTGAGAAAAACTGGTTCTTGGTTTCACGTTGAGATTAAAAATGCGAAATGTTTTCTAATTTCAAAAAAATGTAATATCTCCATAGAATATGGTAGCCTTTAATCAATTATCTTATAAATTGTGCTATATATGAGATGCACTGAAGACTAACTACTACATAAATCAATTTCAATACTTGAGGATGAGTAAAGTCGCTATTATTCAATTACAGATTTTTTTATTTTCAATTTTACGAAGGCCTACGGCTCCAATATTTCACTTTTAAATTTTCTGCTTCATTTTGATTCATAGGAGGACTGTTTTGAGATTTGATCGTCGTGCCCATGTACTTGAGCATTGTTAGTTAAATAAAACAAATGTTTTTTCTCGATATCACCATGCAAAGATATAAAGACTGGCGTTTTTGACGACGCTGTGGTCAGGTCAGAGTGCTTCTTTTGCTATGAAAGTGAGCAATTCAATATGTTTCCATTTCATAGAAATTAAAACGGAGGGAGCCAAAAATTGTAGTGATGAGTAGTGGTCCCATCTACTCTATGGGCTACGGGTTTTGGCAAAAGACAGTAAGCACATCTTGATAAAGTATAGACAAGTCATCAAAACCAGAGTCCCACGGTCCTGTGCACCGTTTTAATATATAAGTGATTCAAATCTCGCGATTCTAACTAAACATTTGCCGGTGTGATATGTCATACTCATCTGCTTTGTGAATGTCCGCGGACTTGAAATAATCTTGGCGTATTGAAGTCATTTTGGGCTGAGTTTGACATACTTGCTATTTAGTGAGACAACTCTTGTCTCTACTATCACGACATCATCTCAGCGTCTGCAGTGGACTGCCGTGGATGTGATTTCACGAAACATTCATTTTATGACTTCATGTAATGTTACTCAGCTCTACATCATTTCTATTTTTTGTTCACATATATCCTTCATAATCAAGACTATTTATTCATTTATTAATAGAATCCATTTTTGGTCCATCTGCCAAAATTGTAATATTGGGAAATTTTAATTTTTTTCATTATACCTGACTAAAAATAACAGACGGTTTCCCAGACCTTCTGGAAAATTATCACATTTTCAACTCGATATTCTAATAACCCGCTACATTTGCCTTCTATTCTTGAGCTGTGTTTAGTCTCTGCCTTTGACTCCACAATTTCTGCCCAATCTCCTGTCATTAATAAAGAGAGACGGTTGTGACTCATTTAGAGATCCCATTAGTGATATGGTATGTCATATACATCTACAGTACTAACTGAATCCACATTCTGCGCCATATTTTTTCTCGGCATATGCTCCAGTAGAAAGAAATATATCTTTCTACTGCTATCGACTCACTTCTAACTAGTAAGTGCAGCAGAAAAATACACTATATGAAAATTTAACAAAAACACGTATCGCTGAACAGATTCCATGATTTTTGGAGAATAATCAATAATGTCAAGATCTAGCATTCCTCCTTATTAACGACGCCATCTAGAGAGCAGAATTGTGTGCGAAATTATTTTCAAATAACTGCAGTCTTGATTCAAATCAAAATGATGCGTCCTGCATTTTCTGAACGGGCTTATTTATTACCCACCGATGTCAATTTAAATGAGGTTTTGATAACACATGGTATGATTTCAGTCTACGAAATGCTGCGTCGCTGTGTGGTTTTCAGATAATATTAGAAACTGAATTTATTTGAATTTACGGATTTTGCCAGCCGTCAAACTCAGTTTGCCGCGAGCTCTCACCCATTTATTGTGAATGTACTATGGATTTTACGCCTAAAGTTTCCCAAGAACTTCAGACACGTAAAATTCTCTAAGGATCGTTTCATGATGATATTGAACTAATTGTATACAACTTACAAGCTTAATGTTCAGCAGCAAAACCAATTATAATGAAAATCACAATTTGCACAAACAAAGACTATGTGCCATAATGTAGCACAAACGTTAGTAAAGACAAACGAAACGTCACAAACTTGAATATCATCATCGTCAAAGATCAAATATCACAATACAACAAAATATAATCAATGACATTCATAATTGTGCCCTAATCGTGAATTTTATTGGCGCTTATTGCATTTGTTTATCGAAGTAAGCATGGAAAGAACAAAAAGAGGAAAGCTGTTTTCCCATATTGACAGAAAGAAAAATACTAATAACAACAACATAATAACAAAACGATCAATATGACCACTCCGTGTCCAAAAATGTTGTAACGTAAACAAAGTTATTTTGGTACAAACTAGAGTGTGCGAAACGATTATTCAACGCCTATTAGGGCTTGCATAAGGAAAACAATTTCAATCGTATGGAATGTAACAATATTATTAGACCCTGAATCAGACATGTTACAGGAAGCATACCAATGCAAAGATAAACGGGGGCAAAGGAACCAGAATCCCAATCTAAAAACCAATATATCTTTTGAGGTATTATTGAATTATTCGGGTCAATATGTTTGGAAATTTTATACATAACGAAAGTGAAAAAGACATAGAAGACTCCCAAACAATAACTATAGGGCCAATGTGCAAAATGAGCAGGATAACGAGTTACAAGCGCATCAGACGTCAATATTATACAATTTAAACCGTGTCGGTAAAGATTAAACACGATATTTGCGCCCTGATTTCCGCTATGCAAAAAGATCCAATAAATTGATGTCACACTCATTGATGAAACAAAGGTAACTTCGTATAAAAACCAAAATACTTTGTGAAACCATCGGAGTATATTATTTTCACCCAAACGATTAGGGGGGTCAGGTCTGATGGCTGAAAGTTTGGTAAATTTGGTTTTCTGTAAATGCAACGAAGTGCGGGTTGACTGAAATTCTCTTAATGACTGGAGTTGTTCTTCCTTCGAGTGAGATCCATATATTGACGGAATTTCTGAAAAATATTCAACCAGAGTTTATGATTTTTTCAATTTAATTAGAGAAAGTTACGATTTTAATGTAATCAATTGAAAACATTCCACATTTTTGCTGTGGTGAATATAAAAGTAATCGAGCATGATAAAGATATCCAATCTGTCAAAATTAAAATCAGCAGTAAGAAATTTATACAACTCTTCTATGCGTCATTCCGAAGTTAAAGCCAACTTACTGGAATCCACATGTGAATTACCATCATGTCTGCCGTAGAGCGCCAATGCCCATGCCCAAATCACATATATCACTACGAGAAGTTCGCACCATGAAGTCAGGTAAAACGGGAAATGAGCAATTAAGTTGTTGCGGTATTCCCAAGCAAGTTCTGCGGCAAAGAACGCCAACACTATGACCATCCATAACAGCCTGTACACGACGAATCCACACTTGCCTCTGGAATTCTGAAAAAAAAAATAATAATGAGGCTAAAACAGGAATGGAACATGCGAAGAAAATTGGAAATCGTGAATCTACAAGGTTTTCCGGCAAACTCCTTCAAATATTTGACATTTTGCACTCATTATGGTTTTGAAGAGCTACATCCAAAATTGTGAATGCAAATTTTCGAACAATTGAAAAAACTCATTAAATACAATGTTTGCAATTTTGATATTGATCTCCTGTATACTATTCGCCTTTCTTATGTGAAATTAAAATACGATATGTCAAACCAGAAAATCACGTTTTTTGAATGTAGTCTATACACTTTTTGTTCGGCTTGTGTAGCTCTTACTTTGAGCGAGTTCCATCCACTCGCCTAAAAATCGACACTATATTATTAAGGCAAAATATCTCCTTATAATGGGTAAATCCGTGTTTAACAGTTTTGTTTACACGTGAAACACATAAAGCGCATATTTTCCAAGAAACACTCTTTAACCGTCATATCATATCTTCTTACCACGAAAAAGTAGAAGTCGGCAGGCTCAGCGTCATCACTAGTAAACCTCAGGTTTGAAATCGATTTTGCAAAGAAGTTCTTCATTTAATCTGTCCAATGTATGAATGAATAATTGACTTAATAAAGCGATAATGCGAGTACAACACATTCCCTAATTTGAGAATTCCAAATTTTACTGAAGAATCTAAATACTCGCTGCCTTCTAGAAACCCAATAGGAAATCAAGTTATGCGTGAAACAGTCATAAACAAACTCCTATATACTAGCAAGTAGCAACTATAAGCTACTCGGACCTTTTATCTGCCTTATATCTATATAACGAGAGTATCAGTATTCGCGCGTCAGTCCTAATGCCTTCAATATGCCCGCGCGTAAATTTTAAAATATCGCTTCGCATAAAATTCACGTGCACTGACCACCAATTCAAAACCAACGGACCATGGAAAGTTTGTTTTTACTCTGGCGTTTCGTAAAATTAAACGATAGCTAACGAGTTACCTAGCTATGGAGGGAAATTGAAATCCAAAAACGATGCGAATAATCTTTCGCTTCGAACAGGAAACAATTATGATTATGATACCTCGCAGCCATTTTCCCTGTTAGTGGTACGGCTAGAGACGTTGGTTTGTTAGGAGCTGTTATAAAAATGATTAAGCGTCTTGACTTGTCTTTGACGAAACCTTCGGGAATAACCATTGATGGCGCCATATATTGGGAAACAACAGTTTTATTGTTCTGATAATTGTGAAACTTCGGTGTGAGGGTAAATATTTGTTATTTCATTAGCCCGTAGCAAAACTAGAACATAACTACCATGTTAAGTGGCCCGCGCAATTGTTGGTAAATTACATGTGGCCCTTCGGCCAAAAAGGTTGGACGACCCTGACCTAATTGAATATACTTTGCATCTGAAAGATATGTGACGGTGTCATCGGGAAATGTATTTTTCAATAGTTTAATTTAGCATGATTATCAGCAAGGCATAAAAGAATGAAAATCTTTCGTCATAAATTGAATATGAAATCCGAGTACTTTGTCAAATAACTCAAAAACTACGAGAAATTTGCAACTCTCGTTTTCATTTTTAAAGAATGTTCAGGCCTCTCACTCAAATCAAATTTGGCATTTCCCTAAGCAATACGCGTAAATGCCTCGCATAGACCTTGAATTGTGAGTCCATGAAAAAATAAAATGATCTTTCAGCGTCACAACAGCTTTGTCCAATTTATCAAGAGCATGAAACAATGTTTGATCGTGCTCCTTCGCATTCTGTCAATCGTGTGCTGTGTTTGCAGCTAGGGTTTTGTTTTTTATCAATTCTAAAAAAAAATCGTGTTTTAAAACAAGGGCTTGTTTTAAATCAAAATTTTTCTGTATTTTTCAATGAAATACCCCTTGCATCGACGCGAAACTACGCCAAAACGTTGCACGTTTCAATTTCAAATATGGAAGTAAATTTTTTTATATTGACTTTTACCACTATTGCGTACATTTATCGCCACTTTATATCTCCACCAAAGTCATAAGATATTACCCGGAATGTTTAGCCGAGATATCAGAGAGACGTTTTGAGTAAGAAAAATCATGAAAATTAGCTCACGAGCCTACTACAAAAGCAATTCGATCAAGTGCAGCCCTTCGGCAAAACGAGTGGGTTGCGATAATGAAGAATATGCTTATATCGGCGGTAATCTACTGATATGAACGATGAGACACCCTAACCTAGCCTATGTTATTTGTAAGAGTCCGCTAATGCAAAGACGCCACAACTAATCTGTTATGACCCCATAATATGGATTTCGAGGTCATGTATTGACATTTTTCTCATAAAATGAAGTCATTGTTACGGTTAATACTGTTCGGTTAATTTATGCTTAACATACTTTGTTTTTTAAGGTTGAAGTGAGTTTTTCAAGGTTATACAAACTCATTTATTCTATCGCATTTCAATTTTCGCAACGTGGTTTCATTGCAGCAGGGCCTTATCGGTTGCGTCTTACTGCGCCAACCACTGAACTACAGCTTGAGAAGATGTGCATGAGCCTTTATCGATATTTGTGGCGGTTTGATAGATTTATTGCAAATAAGGAGCGCTTGGCAAGTTTTACATCCATTTTTTTCAACTTATTTATTACAAAAAATCATGTAGTACAGCCATTTTGAACAAAACAGGCAAAAAAATGGATTTAAAACAATTGTTTTAAAACAATTCTTCGGAACAAATCCCTATTTGCAGCACCTCGACAGTTTTTCACAGTCTCTGTTTAAGTTCTGATACTTTTCTGGGGTGGATGACAAACCAAACATAAGTCTTTTGTTCTTAAAAATTCCATTACGAGTTACTAATATCAAAAATATTGATATTCCTCACATGAAACCTCCTTTTTATAATACATAAGCAGGCGAATATGTCTTCACAATCTGTGGAATTTGATGTTGGAAACATATCTTAAGAATACATTAAACATATGCCGATATGTTAAAACAAGCTGTACCAAAATATTGATATTCTATGACTATGGGCCTTTAGTATAAGGTTTAAATTTTTGGTAAATATATTCAAAAGGTACAATTTTGTAAATCCGAAAAATTCAGACTAAGGCAAATTAAGGTTTTGTGACACACGAAGATAATGTAGACCTCAAATTTGGAGCGGCCCACACCAGGGTATAATTCTTGAATGGTCGATCTGTTTAATTTAATTGTAAGCTGATTTCGACACTTCAAGGTTTTGTAAAAAAAAAAACAGTATTTACAACACTCAATGTGCCGACAAGAAACATGTCAACAATTGAAATTAACAACTTATCAAAATCATGTAAATTAGAACTAAACTCGTAGAAACGCACACCGGTCTAACACATTAAAATACCAGTCGTGGCCGATAATAAAAGCTATCATACACAAACACCCTACAACAGGGGTGGGCAACATACGGCCCGCGACGAGATTTTGACCGGCTCGCCGACTGTATTCAACCACGCTCTGTAATGTGGTCCGACGCATCATTCCTGAAAGTTGCCGATCGCTCTACTCTCACCGCACTGTCAGTGCGAGCTGGGGAAATAAACAATTTTTCTTAGTGAACAAACAATGCACCTTTCCCCGACCTTTGACCCCCGAAAAAGTCTTCTTATACTTTACCATTGCGAAATAATCGGGGCTTATTTTAAGAGTGGTTTCGCGAGTTGGCGCTTGTAAAATGGAGTATGTGTTTGAAACCATCATTATGATTCATCGCATACAACAATATGTTTTTTTAAAAGTACTGGTAAAGAATTTTGGCCTAGTCTATCACAGTAATTTCTACACTAATTTTTCATTACTGCTCTTAGGAAGACAGAGTGATCGTTGAATTATCTGATTCATATTTGAATTTCCGAAACACAACTGAAAACTAACGAATAGATTACAAAAACGCGAAAACGAGGTAATGTTTACCACCACGCCTGAAAATCTGTCCGAGTGAGAGAAGTGTCTGAGCGGATTCGAAAAGGAACCGTTGTTACGTAACTTTTTGAATTTTGCTGATTGGTCAATGTGACGAAGTAGACAAGGAAGTCGATGCTCGGAGAAAGGTCCATTGCGTTAGCACAGTGGTCACCAAAGTGTGGGTCGCGACCCCAAGTGGGGTCGCCTTCAATATTTCTGGGGTCGCCGAGTGTCCATCGTTGTCTTTTCTTTTATTATTTTTATTATGTGTGTGACTTCTCGGCTTAACGCTAGATACTCCAAACGAAAGAATGAACAACAAGCACGCAGACAGGTAATATCAAGAGCAATTACGATAAATTAATTATGGCATCATAATCACAAATTTAGTCCGTGTGAAAAACAGCGTTCTATGACACAAATACACAACAGTGTGCAGTCTGCACTGTTAAGTTGAATAACGCTACATAGGCTAGCAAGTTTCGATATTTCGAATTGGAGTGACTTCTTTTATAATAAGGCTATTGCGTAACGACAGTAATTTATATTTTAAAGTAAATCGTAATTGTGTCTTAAATGTACTGTACAGTGGCCGTTGCTTTTACTGCAAAGCCTCATTTTCCAGGCTACCCTCATATTGATAATTACAATTTGTTAAATGGCTGATAAACATCAAAGAAAAATATCAAATTTTTTTAAAAGCTTGACTTTTAGTGCTATGAGTCTGCTAAAATCAAAGCATCGAAATCGATTAGACGTAGAACACAATTTGCGTTTGAGCTTAAGCCACGAATGCAAGATCTCGTTGGAAGGAAGCAGTCGCATTCTTCACACTGATTAAATATGGTTGTTGTTGGGTTCTTTTAATAAATTTCCGAATTCGATAAATATATTTTTCGTGTCTGTAGGTGAACATATATATATATATAACTTGGGGTCGCGAGTGCTTATCATACGTAATAATATTGTAGATGGGGTCGTGTCTCAAAAAGTTTGAAGACCACTGCGTTAGCACACTTGTTAAACAAACCCAGAGAGCGTTGTAAACATCCCCACTACTGTTATCAGTTATATTTATATTCAGATTATAAATATATTTTAGAAATTAGATCTTATATTAATCTTAGGTTTTATTAACCATAAAATATCTCAAGAAACGTAAAATTGACAGAGAGTGTCGAGCATTAACAAAGACTGGATACCGAAGTATTTTTTGTAATAATCCGGCCCGCCGAGGACTTCTTTTTCCCACATCTGGCCCGCCAACTAGAGAAGTTGCCCACCCCTGCCCTACAATCATCATTTATTTGTCAACACTAACTATAATTGTGTGACAGGAGTCGCGGGGGACCTCGAAACGTCTTCGAGAAGCGACAACTACGACGCTGATTCAGCTTAATAATAAATTCAGTACAAGCGATGAACTCAAAAAAAATAAAAACAACTCAAATACATACTTGACTGTGTAGATCCCAGCTTACAAAACGATTGGCAGTTGTTTGGGAAACAGTTAAGTAAATATTATTAACTCTAAATATATCAAAAAGACAATCAGGACTTTGCGGTGCAAATCCGCAATCCTAGAATATGAAGAAGGTCGAACCGAGATCTAGGGAGCGTCACCAGGGCTGCCACTTTTGTTCGAATTAAACATCTAGTTTGACCTCCAAACACATCTAGATTGTAAAACGAAACATCCAAAAAATATATTTAAATATGAAGTTACTAAATTTAATAAAAATAAACAAAACAAGAAAGTTTATTATATTACATCATAGTAGATTTCGAACATCATTTGAGGTTGATGTTATTGCTACAGTTGCTTCAGAGGGATTTAAATATGTTTCTGCTGTACATATTCATTTGAAACCGAAACAGGTTCCTTATGCGACGTGCAACAGCTAAAATGGTTTATTTCGAATTGGGTTAAATTCAATGATAACTGGTATTGCATACAGTGAATCTGTCTTTCTGCTGTTTCTTAGTTTTTTTTTTACAGTTTGTTGCTCAAATGTTTTTCCACATCAGCATTCAAATAACTTAATTACATTGCTGACTGCTTCTTAGTTACATTTTGTTGCAAAAATTTTTTCCACATCAGCATTTAAATGACGGAGTTACACTGCTGGCTGTTTCTGTGTTATTGTTCCACCTTCAGACTTGACATTAAAGTTTTGTAGCTGACTTTCTGCCCAGCCGATAATGTTTTTTAGAATTGCTTTTTTAGGATTTTATGACAGCTGACAGAATGTATGTCGTATGTTGCCGACTGACATCGAGGACACGCATTTCAAAACAGTCAAATTAGGAGGTAGTCTCTGTTTCAGATGGTTATGTGAGATACTTAGGATAGGAAAACTTTGGCATTTACTTTATACAATTATAATGCTCTCTCCAGCAGTTTTGTAATAAAAATCCCTTGGGTTTCATATCAGGCATATTATTTAGGTTTTATCAGCCATACATCTGATTCTAAATATTATTCGTTTAACATTTACACACATCGCTTTTTTATTTCCCAGTGCTGCACTGGATAATATTTAAAACGTTTTAATAGCTAATATCAAGACTCCAAGTTTTACATATGAATCTAGCTATAAAGCATTTAAAGTGACAGCCATATCCCAGTGATGAAAAAAAAGCCAAATCAAGTCAAATAAAAGCCAGAAAAAGCCAACAATTTTACCAAGTACAAAAACCTCATGAAACTCCTATCACAATAATATATTTACAGTTTGCAATATGCTGATTTAGAGCAATCAGTTGATTTAGTGAGCCATGCCAAATGTCTTTTCTCACAATTTTCACTTCAGCTTGATCAAGGGTTTACAAGTAAGAATGATTATTGAATGGCAGGACTAGAATGTATATCCGACATAATACAGTCAAGTTG